TAATGGTAAAGTTCGTTTGACCTGCGACCTAGAGTTTGGCTGCAGACCTTGCGAAGAATATGTTGCAAGCGAAGAATATATTGGCCGCCTGAAGGTAAGAATGAACAACATTCATGAACTTGCCCGACATTCAGTTACCAGTGATAGAATGAAAGATCAATATGATTCTCGATGCTAGAATGAAAGCTTTGAAGTAGGTGATCTTGTCTGGCTTTATAACCCACAACGTCGTCAAGGCTTGTCTCAAAAACTGCAAAGACAATTAAAAGGTCCGTATTAAATTAAAAAAAGAATAAATGATGTAATTAAGAAGTGGCCGGTAGGTAAACCAAAAGTTGTTCACCTAAAACATCTTGCACCTTATACTGGCTCAATTGAAACAGAAGAAGCACAAATCCTTTAACATGAAATCAAAGATGACCGGCGACAGAGTTTTATTGAATTTATGTCAAATTACGCAGCGAGAAAGAGTGCTAGATTCGGTATGACCACAGAAGTTCGGCAGGATCTTTTTAGTGTTCCGCATAACGTCTCTCTATTCCAGTATGTTGCCAAAGACCTTGAGATTACTAAAGGAATCTCGTCCGTATTTAATAAGAAGTCCGGTCGCTTGGACAAGTTAAAAATCAGCAGCCTTGAGTTTTAAGAGTACTGAAATGATGTGCAATTATTACAGCAAGAATTTGGCCTTACCAAAGATAGGCCATGCACTAGAAAATCTGGATTCGAAGATTGTCAGAGGCATGCTTAAAGTGATCTTCTGAGAAACCGGCGTACAAATGACTGTGTATTGCATTAACCCAAAAAGATCGTGTAAATTTCAAGTTGTCAAATCGACATTTGAAGATAATTGTCTGGAGATAGTAAGGACTTTTAGTAAGAAAGTACCCTGGTGGAATGACAATTAAAAATAGTAAGCATTAAATTACTAGTTTTGTTACCCATAACATTTTATTCTACGTGTGCCGTCGTACATGATAAACGGTGGTAACATGGAAATAGGCGAGTACGGGCTTCGAACTAACCACTCAGGAAGCCTGGCCAAAATCGCAAGTATCTGTTAAGCGGAAACTTAGGTACTGGGGGATGCACCAAGATTGGAAAAAAAGTGTCAGCAACAAGAAATATCAAAATGTCTCATAGTCAAGCTGATATTATACCACTGAAATTGCATGTAACCAGCCCCAAAGTGGTGTGGAAATGTTTGAGGAAATTATATGATCTAAGCAAGAAAAATTTAGTTTCCCAATTATTGATTCTAGAACATACCAGAGTAGGGAGAAATTAAATCACACAAGCTATTAGCCAAAAGAGGCTCAAATCTATATTTTATTAGACATAATTTCTTTTGTAGAATGAGTAGCACCTTAGTCCTGGGAAAGATCGAAAGAAAATTAGTTTGCAAAAAATCCAAACATTGGGAAATCTTACAAGGAATGACTAAGAATTTTTTTGGTTTAAACCAAAACCTTAGTGCTTAAAAACGTCGAAAGAAAATTAGGTAGCAAAAAATCCAAACATTGGTAAGACTTACATGGAATAACTAAGATTTCTTTAGTTTAAACAAAAAGGCCCTTTAACGGAAATACAAAGCCAGTACATATACTAAAACTGGAAGTATTAACTAGCATAAGAAATTACACTAAAAGTACTAACAAAATATAAACCTAAATAACTACGGGTGGTCTCTCAAATGGTATTTTAAAATAAATTGATGCTTACAATTCTTCTACTCCAAATCCACTTTTCGACCTTGATCCTCTGGATCTAATAGATCTAGTAGATCGAAGAGTTCTTCCAGATACTAATGTGCCTTTGGATGTTCTCATCTCTCTTCCTGGTTGAGCAAATTCGGGAAGATCTATTTTAGCTATTCCTCCAGGTCTCGGAATAGCGAAAAATACTTCTGGATGAGTTTCATTTAAGTATGCCATTTTTTATATAAAAATTAAACACTAAAGAATTTAACAAATATATGGAATCGTATTAAATATTAAATTTTCTAGTAGTTGTCATTTATTGACAATCAATAGATGAGCTTTACTACTTCTTTTTCATTTTAGTAATAAATTGTAACGTTTCAATTACAGCCAGTTAATAAGATTCTTGCGTCCTATTTGAGTTTGGTTTATTTAATTTGTCTTTTTAAACGTTGGGGTAAATTGTCTTTATTTATAAGTTTTAAATAATTTCTCTAGTGCGATCCCTTTTTGTGGAGTATTGGGCGCTTGTGTGTTTTCTTGCCCAAAAGTCGTAGAGTTGGCCGGATCAGCGCATCTTGTTTCCTATTCACTTCCTAAATAAGCTCTGTTTTTTCACTTCACCTGATCTTATTTGTCGTGTTCCACGTTTGTGATTCTATTTCACCCGTTAGCTAGTCTTTCTCCCCTCTCCCTTCCCTCGGTTTGTATTTAAGTGCTTTTTCTACGATATGTTGTTTTGATATTTCCTCATGGTATGATATAATCTCCTTTATAATTATATAAATAATATATTCAGGATTTTTCTTAAAGATTTGTTTTCAAAAGTTTGTAGCTTTTTAACTATAGTTTCATCCTGTTTCGATATTTTCTACTCACATAAAGTAGTATACTTAATTAGCAGTAGTAGTAGCCTTAATTATCTCAACTGAGTATCCTTGTTATACACCCCCCTCCTTTCCATAATTGTACACCAAATATGTGAACTTACCGTTTGATTACACAAAGTGCGCTTACCATTTTAATACACAAAAGAGCGATCCAAACATACATCGAGAGAATTAACCGGTCCATAAGCCTGTTAACACATGGAAATCACCTTCAGGCAGAAAAGACAGAATTGTTACAAATCAAATTGACTTCATTTTGCTCAGTAACACCCTTTAAGAAATACATACAATCTACGAACACATACCCTGGAGCTGATATACATAGCAATCACAATCTAGTTATAATGGATTTTAGATTAAAAAAGATTTCTCAAAGTCAAAAAGAAAACAGTGAAAAGAAAAATAGACATCTCACAACTGAAGAACCCTGAACAGAAAAAAGAAATAAGTATCAAGCTTGAGGAAGAAATAAAAACGATCGAAAACTTGGTACAGACAGACATTGAAGTGACATGTACTGCTCTAAAAACAAAAATAACCAAGATACAAGAAGAAGGCATCGGGTTCATAAAAACACAACCAAAAACAAGAATGGATTAACGCAAGAGATCATGGCCTCATGGACGTAAGACGAAAACATAAAACAAGCCCAATAGAATACAAGCACATCCATAAAATCATTAGAAAAAAATGCAGGAAGGGCGAAAGAAAACTGGATGTCAACAAAATGCCTAGACATCGAACAACTTCTAATATTCATAAAAAAGTAAATGAAGAAATGATAGGTAGACACAAAAAGAGGACAAGCAACAATATGAAAAAATAATAGTAACGAAATAATCATGGGTACAGAAGACAAACTAGAGAGATGGAAAGATTAAGTGACATTCAGTTCGGATTTCGAAACGGATTGGGAACACGAGAGGCTCTTTTTGCTTTAAATGTGTTAACGCAACGATGCAGAGACATAAATGTAGATTGTATATACATGTTTTATTGACTATCGAAACCATCAAAAGATAATCTAAATTCTGAGAACAACTGGAGTTGACGAACAAGACTTGCGAACAAGACTTGCGACACAACATCCGAAGATATACAAATCCGAGAAATCTTGCCTCATCACCGCTACTGTTTAATTTGTATTCGAAAGAAGAAGAAGAAGCCTGTTAAACCATCTCTACAAAGTTATTCATAAGCATAATATCAAATAGACTGAGAACAAAATTAGATGTGACCAACCTAGGAAACAGGCAGGTTTTAGAAAAAATTTTGACACCAACGACCACCGCCATTGCATAAAAGGGATTGTAGAAAAATCCATCGAATTCAACCGACAATTGGTTCTGTCTTTCGTAGACTTGCGCAAAGCATTTGATACCAGAGAAATTAACAGCGTAACGAGAGCGTTGGAGGAATGTCGCATAAGTCACGAGTGAGGAGAGTAGGCAGATTGAGACTCAAAACTCAAACGGAACCGTATCCCTTTTGATAATGGCTCCAAAATGGGTGCCAAAACGTCGAACTTTAAATTCTTCTCAACGCACTTCTTCCCGAGAACTTGGTAATTTTCATTCAGCCTTACTAGTACTTCCTTGATTTATTATGTTTAATGAAAGACCAACCCACGAACCCATGCAATACACATGGCATACCAAACTAATTATGTTTCGCTCGTTACCATACACCACAGTAATAAAATCAAACTGTCCTTACTTTGACGACGCCACGCCAAATAATTTTGTATGAAGTTTTTTTGTTGCGGCGTCATAATGCAGTTTATTATTTTTATTGGGAATAAGGCACAATGTGACTTTAAAATAAGCTTATTTTGATGTTTATATTTCCAATTGTAAAATTGTACTTAAAATACGAAACACTAATAAATTTTATTTGTATAAAACGATTTCCGAAATGGAAATCAAAATATTTAATTAAATTGTAAAGTAGAATTGTGGCATATTCCCAATAAAAAACAGTAAGCTACCATTTAGAGGTACAGTGAACTATTAGACCTTAATAGGTATAGAGGTAAAAATGGAAAAAAAGGGAGAGAAAACAATTGGAACATTTGTAATATTCAAAGAAAGAAACGGGCCAGACTATTAAACTAGAAAAGTTATATTAGACATTATAAATAATAGTATTTACATAAAATTGTATTATTTTACTATAATATGAAAAATAGAGATCACCATTGGTCATACAGTAAGTATTTTTTAAATTATTTGTATCTCTATTATTTATATTTCATCCTGTATTTATCCTGATATTAAACTCTTCAATAATTAATTAATAACGTCAATTAAAATAAATAAATAAAATCACTAAATTTAGTGTATGTTCTGTATTTCGCTATGAAAATATCTTGATTTACATATCACTATACTCTATTATTTAAATGACTTAATTTTGACATTGTCAGATATAATATGAAATTTTTAAGAGGAAGTACAAAATTTTTGTGAAATCAATTTCAAAGATGCTTAAAATTTCTAGTTTGCTATAAGTTATAAGTTATGGCCACCAAAAATTTTGTATGGCAAAAAGACGAAGCAAAATGGACAAAAATTATAATTCCAAGTGGCACAATAGACCCTAATCAATCTACCGTAATTCAAATTCCTGAAGATCTTCAACATAACGAAGTTATCATAGCAAGAAATACTGCGGGTCAAGGTCATGAAGGTGATGTGAGTATCTTCTACTTGTTTCATTTTTATATTAAGCTAATTGCCCCGTTTTCTACATTTTTTGCTATCGACTGTTATATCTTCCGCTAATGTCCTATTATTCTATTTTAAAGTCAGTCGGAGTTTTTTCTTGTTATTTTGTGTTCCATGTGGTTATCATTAAGACAGCGGTCATGTAATTTTCTTTCCAATCTATAATATTCTCATTTTCACGTTGGCGATTATTCTGTTCTGTTTATTTAATGGGGTTTTGAACATTTTCACTGATAGTTTGTGGGCCAATATGCTATTTTTCTAAATTTTTTATCTTTTTTATGATTTTTCTTATCTTAATTTATTCTCCAGGAAATTTTTGATAACTAAGTGCATCTATCAGATATGTATCATTTTCCAATAATACCACATTTCGAGGGCAGTTATCTTTTTATTCCTTGCTTCTGTTAAGTCCACGTATCTCCACTTCATATAGCAAAGTTGAAAATACATAAAAATACGTACTCGAATTCTGACCAATACTTTAAGATGTAGATTGCATATACTACACTTGATTGCAAAACAATCGACTCAAAAGCGATATTTAAGATCACACCTTATGTTTTAATGTAAGAAGTATGAAAATAACAATATATAATGTGCAAATAGTAACTTTATTATCGAACTTACAAAAACTGCTATTTTATTATTTGGAAGAACGCATTATAAAAACAATATCCAATACGAACAGGGTTTCTCAAATATTCATCATTGGAACTATCCCAAGAAATACGTAATGAACAGAGAAATTATCAATGACAATGCACCGTTCCTCCGTTCCTCCAAAATATCTCTGATATAACGATCCGCCGTTAAACTTTCTTCACGTCCTCCACAAGCAAAAAAACCAACTCGGTTTTCCCATCCATGGAAATGCCTGAAAAAAACAATTAAAAACCGCCTCCATATGACACAATTTCTCATCTACAAAAATTGAGCAAATCGTTCCCCTGGCCTTCTATAGACTCAACGCCTCTTGTTGTTGCCATGTAGGCAGATCCTACTTTCGTCGGAGAATAATACCTGCCTCCATTGATACTCGTCCCAATCCAGATGTTCGCCGAGCAAATTCTAGTCGTCTTTGCTTCTAGTCTGCAGTTTAGCTGGGACCAGTAGCTGCCCTTTTTGGTGTCACGTTGGTTGCTTTTAGTCTCCTTCTCACTGTCCATACGCTGGTAAACCACCTCGGACCTGTCTAAACTCTTCTTGAGATTAGCACCAGTACAAATGTCGATTTCTCAGAGATTTAGATACAAGAAATTCGATCATCTCTCTCTGTTGTTATTTGTTTACGACCTTCCTCCTTGTCGGCGCACATAATCACCAGTATCTTGGTACCGACGATACACTCGGGACATCAGCAGATTGGCTTAAATTTAGTCGATTTGCCACGGCTCTCTGGCTCAGCTCTTCTCTCAATAATGCTACTGCTTGAGCTGCTTTGACGGACGTGGTATCCATTTGTTAGGAAGTTGCGAACTTAATTGACTGATGTATTAGTGGGTTGCTATGGAAATTGATGGATACGATGTTTAACCAAATGTTTTAAGTGGGTGCGTGTCGATTTCAATGGGTCAACTTATGACCCCCTCTTTACGTGTTGCATTATTTATTTGTAATACGTCACCCGATTTACCAAAAATCAAAACTTTTTCAAACTCAATAATGAGGTTAATAACTGTAGGTACACTAAATTATTTTTAAACTTACACCTTATTTTTGATTGAAACAGGAGACGTACTTTTGCAAAATAATTTTGAGTCGATTTTTTTGCACTCAAGTGTAGTTTTCATTATATAAAACATACTTTTGGCTATCTCGATTCTAATATAGATTTCTTTAGAGTATATCTAATTTTCTTATCAGGCGGTATAACAAAGAAGTGAAACTCTAATGTCTTTATTATAACTCTAATTTATCGATATTACGGGACTACCACACCCTTTGTCTCGAACCAACATTTTCTCTATTATCTTCGTTAATATAGTTAAGCGGGACCATAAAATATAACAAGAAATACAAAGAACACATTACTATTCCCAATAATATTATTCCTAAATACCAAACTGAAGTTTGTCATAATACTCTCAAGGATATCTTAAGTAACTATTCATATTACATTGCAATCTATACAGATGGGTCAACATATACAACCAGTGCTTACTTTGTACCAAAAATAAAGACTAAGAAAGCATTTACTTTAACTAATCAATCCAGCATCTTTTCCGCTGAAGCATGTGCTATATATAAAGCCGTTGAACAGTGTTGTGAAAACCAGTGGAAACAAAATTGCCGTGTGCAGTGATTCAATATCAGTATTAAATGCATTAAAACTTCAGTCACGATTAACAGCAATATATTCATGTTAAAAAAATTTCAAAAGTTACTTAAATTATCAGCTTTATCATATGATATTAAATTCGTATGAGTTAAGGAACATTCAGACATATTGGGTAATAGTATTGCGGATTCAATAGCTAAAAATCCAACAAAGCACCCACATACATTGATTGAAGAATACACACGTGATCTCCTTGCAAATATGTGAAACAGCATGTTAAATTTAAATTGGATAGACGTTGGATTCAGTTCGCGGGCTCTACAGGTACTAATTAGTTTAAATTAAAATCCAACAGTGGCTGTGAACCAATTTTATAACCAATTTTACAAAGTGGTTGCACTAAGTAGAAGTACAGACCATCCTAAGATTAAAAGTAGATCATTGATGTTTTCCGAAGCATCTACATAAAATCGAATTCTCCAAATAGAGTGAGTGTGAGTGTGGAACTAGTATCGTTGATTTAAATCACATATTCCTTAACTATCCCTGACATGCCAATACAAGTAAGTGGCTGTTTCAAGAATTGCTGAAAGCAAGTTTAAAGACGCTATTAAACTTAAAAATACACAAATTTTTAAATTGACTATGGTATTTCTGCAAAAAATTAAAATAAAGATATTTAATTAAAATCAAATACGTCACATTTTGAGGTTATGTTAACTGATTTATTTTATTTAATTTTATTATTTTGAGTTTAAATTGAAAATAAACCTAATTAAATTAATTAATTATACTCTTTATGATGTTAATTTCATGTTTTTATTTATAAATCAATAGTAATAAGCAATTTTTAATAATTTTGACAGCTGCTGTGATGTATTTGATTGTAATTAAATATTTGATTATAATCAAGTTTTGATTAGCGATCGAACAATCGGCAGTAAGGGTTTTTAACCAAGTCCAAATACAAAAAAAAATACACATAAACTATTTTCTATGAACTATGGAAAGCATGGTCAGAGGGAATATTACTAAAAGAAATGAATAATAATGAGTGAAGCCGTAACAAAATTATTATAGTAGTATACGAAACAATCGAAGATGATGACACTCAAATCAAAAATGAATTTTGAGGAGAGGTAATGATGGCAACAGAAACCGCAACAGAAGAGTATACAAAATTAACCATTTATGTTTATTCTCTAAATATTATTTCTCCATTCTATAAATATTATTCATCCATATTATCCTCCCATCGCTTTCTTGGTCTCCCAATAAGTTTCTTCCCCTGCATTCTTGTATTCAACAGCTTTTTGGGAGCCTATTTTCTTCCATTCTAAATACCTGACCTGCCCACTGAAGACGCTGTAGACGGACATATTGCGATACAGGTGGTTCCTTATAGATATTATATATTTCATAATTGTATCTGATTCCCACCTGTTGTTCTCATTTATAGGGCCTAGTATTCATCTCAGTAACCTTTCTTTCAAAGATGTCCTTCCCCTTTACAGATTTTTGAGTTAATACCTAAGTTTCACATCCATACCTCTAATCAATAGGATTACGGTCTTGTAGATTCGTATTTTAGTTCTTTGATGTACGTCTCGTGATTTAAATATCTGGTTTATAGCAAACTATGTGGCAGCCATAGCTCAGTGGCTCTGTCACTGGCTTAACAAGCTGGAGGGCCCGGGTTCGTATCTCGGCACCGACAAAATTTTCAATTTTAAATTTAACTGAGCTGCCACCGTGCTTCCGGGGGGCACGTAAAGCCGTCGGTCCCGCCTACGGAAGTAGTCGTTAAGTCATGTTAGGGGCGCTTGCGCGACCTGCAAACCCTAACACTAGACCTTAGCCAGAATGTTACACGAACTTTACTTTTTTTTTAAGAGAAATCATACGATTTCTACCTGGCGAAATCAAATTCAAATCTTAACCACTGTGCTCTCTAAAACGTGCAAAGCAAACAGCTTGATAAATAACTCAGCAAGGGAATCTAAGATAGTATTCCAAATGCCGTTCATCATGGTCAAAATTCGTAGTGAATTCAATTTCTGGTACTCCAAACGGAGTATACAAATAAAACATAATGACGGTACTAGATTTTGATTCGATACAGAGCAGCGACATGCCGCTTATACTTAATGTTTTATTTCTATACATCCGTTTGGAGTACCAGAAATTGAATTCACTACGAATTTTGACCATGATGAAACGGCATTTGGAATGCAATCTTAGATTCCCTTGCCGAGTTATTTATCAAGCTGTTGCTTTGCAAGTTTTAGAAAGCACAGTGGTTAAGATTTGAATTCGATTTCGCCAGGTAGAATCGTATGATTTTCTCTTTTTCTCTCTTAGATGGCGTAGTTACGTCTGTATATAGTTATTTTAATAACTATTATCTACGACGGTAATAGATTCTGTTTCGAACGGAGTAGTGGCTGTACCGTTCTGAGGAGACCTAAAGAGATCGAAATACGTATAAGCGACTTGTCGCTGCTCTGTATCGAATCAAAATCTAGTACCGTCATTATGTTTTATGGTTTACTTTTTTTATATAGCAAAATATGCCGTATTGGCTAGGATGATTCTTGTGCTAAGCTCTACATCGTTAATGTTATCCTTTGTGATTTTGACTCCTAAATAAATAAAGCTATCCACTTTTTCTAAGTTGTCAACTCTCTGGTAGGGTCGTGTTACTATCTTCGATCGACTTTGTACTAAGATTTTAGTCTGTTTTGTGTTTATCGATAGACCAATTTGTTTAGCATATAATTTAAGTTCCGAATAAGTATTCTCCACTGTTTCTTTGGTTCTGCTCATATTTATATCATCTGCATATGCTGCCAGTGGCACTGATTTATTGATAAATGTGCTGTTTCTACCTTCTGATGTTTTTCTAACTACGTATTCCAGTATTCCAAAGCTAAATTAAAAAAAGTTGATGCAAGCCCATTACCCTATTTTAATCCTTGTGTTATTTGAAATGTGTCTGGAATCTCATGTTGTATAGCTGTATCTGAGCCACTATGTCCGTCATTATAAACGAGACTAATTAGTTTGGACGTTATTGTTTTGAATAAGTGTACCATGTTTGTTGAGTCATATGGCTGTTTAAAGTCAACGAAAATATTATAGAAATTTTTGCATTTTTTAAATTTTCGAACCCTATAAGAAATTTGCCGTTAGATGTTTGTGTACTGTTTAATATTATGTTAAGCAGCCATTTCTTAAACGAAAATTGTCAAAAAAAAACTTCTACCAAAATGATGAATTTAACGGATAACTTAAAAAATTAATATTGTAAACTTTTCCTGTTTTCTTGATAAAAATTACAATAAAGTCGTGATCTTTAATATTCTGTATTACCACCTCCATTTTGAATTACACTCCTCATTCGACTTAGCATTAAATTCATCAAATCCTGGATATTGTCTTGAAAGCTTCCCATTCTTCCTTGAGCGCCAACCGAAGCTGCTCATGACTTATTGGAGCAGGTATTATGTTTCCTACTCTTCGTGTCAGTTGGTCCCCAACATGCTTAATCGTATTTTAATCTATGCTTTGAGACGACCTATCTTGGCTACGTGTGGCCGTACGTTTATCTTGCATGAAAATAAAGTTTTCGCCAACAAACCCAGCAAAAGGCATTACATTACATGCTCGTCTAGAATTTCGGTAATGTATCCATAAGCATTTAACACTGCTATATCAATAAACATGAGATCAGTACGGCCTTAAAATGAAATGTCTGCCCAAAACATTTTCGAGCCTCCTCCAAAAGCAACACGTGCCTCCCAACGTCTTCTGTACGTTTTGATGCGGCCGTCTGTACCATAAAGAACCATCCTAGACTTATCACTAAACACAACATTTTTCCAATCTTCTATCGTCCAATACTCTTGGCAAAGTTAAGTTGGCGTTGTCGATGTGTTGCTGACTGTTGCTTGTCCAGTTGCTGCGCAGCGAGCTCTTAGACGAACTTTCTTCAACCTTCTTCTCACTGTAGAAGTGCTTAATGTCCACCCGTGAACATTTTAGAATCGATTTTGGATTACTCTAGCCGTAAAGAATTGATTTTGCAAAGAAGTACGTTGTAAAGAACCTGCCGGCATCCAGTTGTGATACCTAAAAGTGTGTCTGCATTGTGGGAGTTTAGTTACAATGGAATAAATATAATAATATATATTATAATAAATAAATAGGTGGTCTCTTTTTAATAACGCGCAGTATAATGCATTTTTATATTACTGTATTCTTAAAAACTGTATTTTTAGCAATATAACGAACAATATAACGACCAACAACAGTTTAGACCATGTCCTGCAGTATCAAGGGAGCAGGAAAATTTTATGCCTTCTTTTGAGCAAGAACCTCAGGTAAGTTTTGACTATAATTAATAAATAGTTTTTTACATTAATATGCACCGACATATTAAGATGACATTTTATATATTCTGACCGCCGACCTTCTTCTTCTTTAAGTGCCATCTCCGCGACGAAGGTTGGCAATTATCATGGCTATTCTGACCTTCGAAGCAGCTGCTCTGAACAATTGTCTTGAGCTGCAATCAAACCACTCTCTCAGGTTCTTCAACGAGGAAACGCGTTTTTCTTCCTACGCTTCTCTCTACCCTCTATTTTTCCTTGAATTATGAGTCTCTGTAGTATCTTTCGCCCCTCATCACATGTCCGAGATATTACAATTTCCTTCTTTTTATTGTATTTTCCATTTCCCTCTCTCTGCCTATTATCCTTAACACTTCTGTATTCGTGACTCTATCTACCCATGAAATCCTTAACAATCTTCCCAATGGCCACATTTCAAACGCGTTAAGTCGATTTATTGTATTCCGGTTTAATCCATGATTCAGCTTCATAGTAGAGTACACTGTGTACATCCTTATTCTGAGAGCCAATGTCAGATCTTTGCTGCATAGATTTGTTGGCTGTATTATGATTGATTCGTCGGCATACCTAATGTTGTTAATTAAACTTCGTTCACTTTTATGTCGACTGTCCCGTTTACCGAAGCTTCTTGTATGATTTCTTCAGAATAAGCATTAAAAAATAACGGCGACAGTATGCAACCTTGCCTTACCCCTCTCCTTATCTCCACTTCTTCTGGCAATTCTCTTCAAAATTTTCACATTTAATCGTTGGCTGTAGTATAAAATTTGATTTCAATGTTACATCCCTCAGATCCAGATTCTTGTTTTTCAGTACTTCTATAAGTTGGTCATGTTTTACCTTATCGAATGCCTTGTTTTGAGTTTATAAAGCATACATAAAGATCTCGATTAACATCCAAAACATCTTTGGGTCAGTACGTTAAAAGAAAATAGTGCCTCTCTTGTGCCCACTCCATTCCGAAATCCAAACTGGGAATCACTAATATCCATCTTCAGCTTAGCGTGTATTCTATTATGGATGATTTTTAGCAAGGTTTTTAACGTATGTGACATTAGACTGATCGTTCGATAATCATGGAATAATTCCTCTATATATTTTTTCCATCTTCCTAATTTTTGTCCGTCTCCACTCTAATATTTTTCCTTGTTTGTCCAATAGTATGCTTGAGGTTTTTTGTTTTACTACCCCAGTTAATTATTTAACTTTCTTATGGAGATTGAAGTTATCATATTTGTTTTTTAAGTCTTCTATTTCTTGGCATTATCCAGCGAAATAAGTCTCTTTAGCTTCCCGTATTTTCCTTCTTATTTGATTATACAACTGTTGATACTGAGTTATGTCGATATTCTTTTGCCTTCTTCTGTCCTCCATCATTTCCAAGATGTCTTATGTCATCCAATCTCCTTTTTTACATCTGGTTGTTGTGAGTTCTCTGCGACTTAATAAGTGTTTAAGATATATTCCAATAAACGGCACTTTGGTGCTGCTAGGAAGTGAAAAATTTGATGGTAGGTCTATGATGGTTTGGGATGGAATAAATCTTGAAATCAAAATCGAAATTAAAATTATCCAGAGAAGTTTAAATACTCAAAGCTACATCAGTATTATGCTAGAAGAGCATTATAATATGCAGCTGTATGCCGAGAGTATATATTTTATATATGCAGCTATATACTTGGAATGTATCCACCTTAAATTGGAAGAAATGGAAGAAGAACCGGATATGCTATAAATCGAATATGTAATCAATAAACTTGAATTAAATAAGACACAGGACCAGATATGATAACTGCAAAAATGATCAAGGAAACAAAAGAAATCGGCATAAAATTGTTGCACCTCCTCTGCAATCAAATATGGCATTCTAGATAATGGCCACTGATTGGACGCACTCTTTGATCATAACAATACACAAAAATGGGCGCTTTCGTAAGTGCGGCAATTATGGAACTATATATCTTATCTCACTTGTCAGTAAGGTAATGCTAAAAATCTTCAATGAGAGGCTGAAAATTTTCCTCCAAAGAGAAATACCAGAAGAGCAGGCCGAGTTTGCCAAAAGTAGAGGAACACAAGAACACCTTTTGAATATAAGTCAAATAATCGAGCAAGTCAAGAGAATTTCATATTCTGTTATATATCTGCTTTAAAGATTATTGCAAGGCATTCGAGAAAGTTAAGTGGTATCATTTATGTGATATTAAAATGTGGACGTGCCAAAGCACTTAATTTTTCTTGTAGCTGAATGATACAAGCATACCACGGGATCAGTAAAAATGCTTGATATAATTTCAAAAGAATTCTACCCAGAATAATCTATGGTTTGCAGACGATATAGCTCTGTTGCCATTAGCCAATAAGACCTGATTAATCTCATACGGCTGGTTAAAAATGAGAGAAAAAAGTTCGGACTGGAATTAAATATATCAAATAAGAAAAGCATGATAGTGGATAAGCAATACAACAATCATTCACATCTAACCAGAATGCTTTAGAAAGAGATAAAACGTAGATGTGATCTAGCCAAGTTCGATATGGGAAAAATGGCCTCGACTAGCTGGACCATCAGGGATTAATTGAAACCAATAGGGTAGACAAGTTCCATGATATGGAGTTGATCTCTTAATATTAACTACTTGGGTTTACTTCTAGCAGAAAACTGAATGCGGTAGTTCGTTTATATTCTGCAGGACGGTGTACGGCCTTCCCAGTTTCGTTGAAATTTCGGACAAAGTCCTTTCTTACATGTGGATAATATAGCCATATTGGATCACCTCTTTTATAAGTTGTACCAGTAGCATGCATGTCGAGCCTGGCCTTGGCTTTATTACTTTTAAGCTTCAAACTTTTACGAATAAATTCGTAAACTTTTTCTAATTTTTCTTTAAAATTTTCAATGTACGTCAGTACGTTCTTCTTCACAGGAAGGCAATCTTCCGAAAATAAAATATTGAGGAAGCTTGATTTCTCTTCTGAAGAAGTTTAAATACTCAAAGCTATATTAGTATTATGTTAGAAGAGCATTATAATATGCAGCTGTATGCCGAGAGTATATATTTTATGTATGCAGCTATGTAATATACTTGGAAATGTATCCACCTTAAATTGGAAGAAATGGAAGAAGAACCGGATATGCTATAAATCGAATATGTAATCAATAAACTTGAATTAAATAAGACACCAGGACCAGATATGATAACTGCAAAAAATGATCAAGGAAAGAAATCGGCATAAAATTGTTGCACCTCCTCTGCAATCAAATATGGCATTCTACATAATGGCCACTGATTGGACGCACTCTTTGACATAACAATACACAAAAAAGGGCGCTTTAGTAAGTGCGACAATTATGGAACTATTTATCTTATCTCACCTTTCAATAAGTTAATGCTAAAAATCTTCAATGAGAGGCTGAAAACTTTCCTCCAAAGAGAAATATCAGAAGAGCAGGCCGGGTTTACCAAAAGTGGAGGTACACAAGAACACCTTTTAAATATAAGACAAATAATCGAGCAAGTCAAGATAATTTCATATTCTGTTATATATCTGCTTTAAAGATTATTGCAAGGCATTCGAGAAAGTTAAGTGGTATCATTTATGTGATATTAAAAAAGTGGACGTGCCAAAGCACCTAATTTTCCTTGTAGCTGAATTATACAAGCATACCACGCGATCAGTAAAAGTGCTTGATATACTTTTAAAAGAATTCCACCGAGAATAATCTATGGTTTGCAAACGATATAGCTCTGTTGCCAATAGCCAATAAAATCTGATTGATCTCATACGGCTGGTTAAAAATGAGAGAAAAAAGTTCGGTCTGGAATTAAATATAGCAAATAAAAAAAGCATGGTTTTTTTTTGGCTTAGACTATCGTCATACAGCCAGACACAAAAGAACTAAGACAGTCATCATTATAATTATTTACCTAAATGCCCTATCAAGATAGAAGATTACATCGATATTAGGAGAACGGGGACACACTCTTCTCTCCTAGGGACCTATCAAGGCATTGATTCATATAAGACATAACAACACTAGGTCACGGAGAGGAGGAAGTTATACAAATGGTTTAAAACAAAGGTAACAAGATTAACTAAATAATTTTTAGAGAATTATAATGATAATTTGCTGTCTTTTAAAAATTTTATTAAAGAGTTGTAAATATCTACAGAGCCAAGTGATAATAAATGTAGCATATTCCAAGGAGCTGCTATTTTATATTTTAATAAATCATTTATAAGTTTGGATGAGTAGACTCTGTTTTTAGAACAAAGTAGATAGGGTACACAGCTTTGAGACCAACCCCTAAATTGCAACCCCTAAAATCGCAACCCCCGGTCGTAAGTTCCAAACGGCTGAACGTAGGATGACGTACGAGGGCTCGTTGGAAAGGGGATGAAAAATGGGGTTGAATGCAGTATGTGCCGTGCGCATCGGAGCATGCCAAAAGGTCATTATGGGGTATCTTCGTTTCTATTGGTCCGATCGGGGCGTACGAGGACTCGTTGGAAAGGGGATGAAAAATGGGGTTGAACGCGGTATGTGCCGTGCGCATCGGAGCATGCCAAAAGGTCATTATGGGGTATCTTCGTTTCTATTGGTCCGATCGGGGCGTACGAGGACTCGTTGGAAAGGGGATGAAAAATGGGGTTGAACGCGGTATGTGCCGTGCGCATCGGAGCATGCCAAAAGGTCATTATGGGGTATCTTCGTTTCTATTGGTCCGATCGTGACGTACGAGGGCTCGTTGGAACGGGGAGAAGGCGAAGAGACAAAAAACAAAGATGGCGGCGTTGCCAAATGGACGTTAAAACGTATCTTAGTTGCTATTGGTTGGATTGTGACGTATGAGGTGTCAAAGCGTTGGATGTCACGTGACATTCGACGCAGGACGTGACATTTGTCACAGAACGTGACATTCGACGCAGGACGTGAAATGTCACGTGAAATGATGTGACATTCGACG